GGACATCCAAGGCAATGTGCGGCCTTGCGCACGAGCTCCACACCCGCTGGCAGAAGCGCTCGATCTCCTGCAGAAAACCCAAGTGAGCAGTCCTCCTTCCCGCCTTCCCGCCTTCCCGCCTTCCCGCCTTCCCTTTGTATTGGTTGGCGCAAAAAAAAGAAGAAGGAGTGGCCGCAACAAACTCTCACGCGACAGACAGAATAAGCGTGCGTGAGAAATGGAGACCGCTTTGGTCCGGCGCGTCTGAACGAGGAAGTTCACGATGCTCCCAAATTCAACAGACCAGCCATTTTACAAGTCTCACATCGATGGAGAAAATTGGCACTTTCCTTGATGTTGCCTTTCAGAGGCAGGGAAAAGGAATCGATGGACTACACCGGAGCAGTCCCCGTGTCATGAGGCGGCCCGCTTCCAAAACGGGGGGGTTTCTTCACTTGGGTTATGATCTTCAGTTCGGGCTATCTCTGAGGGTCCTGCAAATCGATTAAAATGGGAATTAAATGCAATCGAAAAAGACCACGCAATAGAAACAAAATGCAGCTGAGTAAAGGAGAGGCAACCAAAGTGGAGATGATTAAGAAGGCTTTTCCCTGTGGTTTTCTTTCTGTTTTGATTGACTCCCAGGACTACCGTTTTCATTTGCGATCATTCTGCTCAAAGTGCGGCGACCCTGCCAATCATCACTATCAGATACCTATCATCCCGGCAGAATCTGGAACCTACGCAAAACATGTTTACTAGTAATCCTTCCCAACGCCCCTACCAAGTCTCCATTTACGTGGGCCGGAGATCCCCCTCACAGTTCTCAAGATTTGGGACCCTTGCGTAAAACAAGTCTCCAACTTCATGCCTAGTTGCTTGCTTGTCTTTTTTATGTCCCTGGGCCGCCCCTAGTTTTCCTAATTCTGGAGTCTACTTCTGGCGCAAACGCAAGAACAAGGGAATCATGACAACTCAGGAAAAATAGGAAACACATAAGAAAAACCCAGGGAACACATAGGACTAAATAGGGAACATATAGGACAAAAGTAGGGAAACAATAGGAAACGAAAGGACACAAATAGGAAATAAATAGAGCAAAACCAGGGCCTGCACTTGGCCTGCTCCCCCCCAAAAAAAAAACACCTGAGCTGGGTAGGCCTGCCCCCGAAACTGGACAGTGGGCCTTGCCCGAATTTGCATCAGCAGGACGACGCGCAACATGCGACAACCAATGGTAAGGCTTAAGGCAAAGCAGGCAGCAAGCTAGATCTGGAGGGAGTGCACGTGCAGGCAAAACAAAATCAAGGCAAACACAGCCCCCAAATTCAGCTGGCTTTGAGGTTTGTGTTGCGACTGGCCCTGCTTTTCTTTTGTTGCATTTTGCCACGTTTGTTCTATTTCTGTTGTACTTGGCTGATCTATTTGTTCCTAAGGCAGCAACTTTCCATCATAACATTTGGGCTTGCCAGAAGAAAGCACCCAAAATGGTTGGTGTCCTCTTGGTTTCCGAATCAGCAAACCGGGAGAACTCTTTGAGCCAGAGAAAGAAAAGAAAAAAAAGCCCCGCGAGATGGTCCAAAGGTGCTTCCAACGGCGCACAATGGTCACAGGCAAACCCTCACCCCATTCCCCAGGGAAAAGGAGGATGCTTGCAGTCACGTGCCCAAAACTTTGAGGCAGGTTGACCTTCCGTGTAGAATTTCAGGGCTTGTGACATCCTCAACAAGACCTTCTGCCACCCCAAGAGTAGTTTTGAAAAGCCAGTTCCCAACGCGGTTCCAACGCGACTCCAACGCGGTTCCAACGCAAAAAGTGAAGGTGCCTCTTTCTTCTTCTGCTGCGGTATTTGGGCGTAGCAGAACTTCTCCACGAGCGCCTGACGCCCAACTGGTCTGTCTCATGGGGACTCCATCCGCACCAAACAAAAAGAAAGCAGACGGCTCTTCACTGTGAGCGTGCTTTTTTTCACATGTTGAAAGGAACTTGAGTTGAACTTGTTTGTTTTAACAGATTGTGCTTACATGTTAACTGTTTTGAAAAAAAAAAAACTTGTGCTGGAAAGAAGTTCCTGTCTAATCTGAAACCGAAATGATGATTGAAATATGTCCTTCTCAAATTATGAGTAGAAAATTATTTAAACTGTAAAGTTCTATCTGGGATTATGTTCTATAAAATTTCGCATTTTAAGATACAATGTCCAGCACGGTTGTCTAAAACCAGTGTTTAATATAGGATTCAGCGCTGCATCCTCAAGAAGTCCACAAGATTGCTATATCAAGTGTAAATGCAAGAAGGTGTCAGTTACTGATCCCAATATACAGTGGCACACAAATACAAGCCGAGTCAAATCAAGCAATGCTATGGCGGCTCGAGGACCCAAACCTATCCCTCTCACAAGACAATAATTGCTATTCCAAACACACCGGGACCTTTCAAGGGCGACCCGACCCGGGGCGCGCGCTTGTGCTTGAGCCAAATGTTGAAGCCCGCAGTGCTCGGAAGGGGTACCCTGCAAGAGACCCCTACGTCCTACCGATTGCGGCCGTTGGTGGAGATGTGAATTGAGTACGAAAAACGCTACAACACACTGCGTCGTATAGCGCTTTCTGACCGGCTAGCACGATTGTGGCACCTCTGATTGTTTGCCTTATGAATCAGTGTTTGATATGTTTATGAGCTTAGTTGAAACTAAACAGAAGTTCATAAGGAGTTAATCCAATCAGAATTTATTGTCTAGATTGGAGTTCGAATAGCAATCATTTTATGTAAAATTAAATGTTTCGCAAAAGTTCCTTTCACCAGGACGGTCTTTACAAATCAGATACCATTTAAGCGCATGTTTGAAACAAAATGGGGCTACACAAGATTTCCTTTCCAAAAGCATGCTGTTTGGAATCAGTCAACATACAATACTCGCTCGCAGGCCGGAAGCGGAAAAATGCAACACGTGCAGCTTGAAGAAACGGCCGAAAGCTCAGGCCGTCCCCAGATCCTGGAACCACTTCCCGGTGGATCTGAGATTTTGTTTTTGGGTTGTTTGCTGGTTTTCCCCAGGTTTCTTTTGAGTTTTGGACAAGTGTGAGCCTTGAGAAAACCCCTCAAACTAAACAGACCCATGTCCCAGATCCTGGGTCCACTCACCAATTGAACTTGTTTGTCATTCTTAGTTTCTCCGTTTTTGTTTTGCACTTCTCTCCAGACCCATATCTCAGATGCAGATGCAGATGCACATTTTCCATGTTCAGTTTCCAAATGCTTATGCTCATGAAACATAACACGCTCGGGGAAACGTGTTCTGAAAAATCAAGCGCTTTGAAGCACGCTCCACAACCAATGCCTGGGGCTCACCCTTGGTGTCCAAGCAGAAGACGTCGTCCTCTATGCCGAACTTGAGGCCGTTGATCCCGGTGCAAGCCTGACGCGAGAGACAAGGGTGGAGACTTGACCTCTCCACCTGTGCAGGTTGGTTTGGAGGAAGCGAAAGCGAACCACCTCTCCAGGTCCACCTATCTTGACACATACCTAGACATGGGCCAGCATCCTCAATTTCAGGAGTTGCAACCCCATTGAATTCAATTCGCGTGAAAAACATCTGGAAAGAGTCGATTGACAGAAGTTATTGAACACAAACAAGAAAGAAAATGGATGTTCCTTTGATTTCCCTTTGGCTTCCCAAAAAGGCCCTCCAAAACTGCGAAACATGCTGAGAAACGCTTAGTCTAGCCAATATGCCTATAGGCTAAAGGAGAATTGTTTTCGTGGACTCTTCTATTCTCTTCTTTCTCTTCTCTGAGCATCTCGTGTCTTTTCTTCTCTTTCTCCTTCTCCTCCCCTTCTTCTTGTTCCTTTGTGCTTCACTTCTCCTCTTTCGCTTTCTCTTTTCTTCTTTCCTCTTCTCTTCTCTGTTCTTTCTCGTGTTCTTCCTTTTTCTGTTTTCCTCGTTCCCTGTCTCATCCTCTTTCTCTGTCCCTTTTCGTTCCTTCCTTCCTTCCTTTCTTTCCTGGAAAACCAAGTTGCTGGAAAAAATGGGGCACCAACGAAAGTTTGCGAAAACTTACACAACTGTTGAAATAGTGGTGTGTTTTTAATTCGCCGACTGGGCTAAGGCAGCTAGTCTAATTGCAACGACTCCTTTGTAGCAGGAACCAGAAAAGTTGTCCTCATGTTGGACGATAGTTGCTTGCCCAGCAACTGTTCTGTTGTGTTTGCGAGCGCTGCAAATCTTGGTGTTCTTGTGTTTTCAGAGATTTGATGGGCGGGTCACCGTCAGCGCCCGAAATTTCCGCGCTGCGTTGGCTGAACCGCTCGTGGGTGACAAGTGTGACGCTGTTCGTACAACCACGCTGGTTGGTGCAACTATCAGTCGCACAGTCAGACAGTGTCGACACTCCTTCTTTTTTTTAGCTAGCCGTGAACAACGCAAACTTCCAGCTTTGAGCATGATGTCTCCTGTTAACCTCCGCTGCAGGAAGCTTGCGATGGAAAGAGGAGGAATCATGAAAGTTGAGGCGGAGAGCTTTTGAATATTCTTTGCATGAGCTTGAACAATATCTTTCAGATTCATCCGACGGATGATTTGCCTGTATCTATCCACGCCAGCCACTTTTGTACTTTGCCATTTGCGAAGCGGCCTGAGAACAGCTTTCAGCGTGACGCCCATTGTTGTTTGTCGCTGTGAGGCATAAAGCTTTCCACCTTTGCGACCCGTGGCTTCTACCACACTTTAAGCAAACTGCCCGACTCCACCATGAAAACACTTCAAGCAAAACTCTGGAATTGCAAAGTAACATCTTGTCGGTTTCCGTGGCCAAGGGGCGCAAGTGGATCTGAGAACTTGCGAAAATGGCAATTGTTTGGCAAGCATGGCAAATTACTCCACTTTCACGCGAAAAACACACCACTTTACGCTTCGTTGTTCTTGCGAGCGGCGCAATTTCCCACGCAGTTGCCCCGCAATTACTCAAAAGGGATCGTCGGTGGGCACTCGGTGGCATCGACTTTGTGCGACTGGCTTTAAAAGATGCGATGACACACAGGTGAACACATGATTAGATGTTTTCTTCGCACCCGTTGCATTTGGATGAACACCGGCGATGCCCCCGAAAATTTGCCCAATTCTCAAACACAAAACAATTCACAATCATATCTGCCTCTTGGCAGCGTTGCCCGTATGTGAACAAAAATACCTCCTACCATCAATTTCAATGTGAGATCACACGTCGTTTGCTGAGTGGAGACAAACAATTGCCGGCTCTGTTCACCGCACCTCGGGTGTTCATGTTCAGCATTGCGATTGCTGAGTGCCATGGTCCCGAACATGTTGATGTTGTATGTTGTGCAAGTTGCATAGACTTAGAACAACCTCAGTTGAATTTGACATGCGCAGGCTGCATCGTAGTTTTCGGGCAGGATCACCAAAATGAAGTGGCCTTAAATGTATAGATTTGTTTATGATTCTTTTTTGCACGCAAACATAAGCTGTCAGTGCAGCAGACTTCATAAGAACTGAGCAACCGAGCAGCTTTCGCACGCAGGAACGATACAGAAACAAAACAAGAGCCCAAAATATAGGGGTGCGCTCAAAACCATTCGTTAATGCGCTCTCATAGCGCCCGCGATGCACGATTGTCCCCCTTTCAGCACACCCTTTCGCACAAAGTCGAAAGTTGTAGCTTTTCAGTGAAAGTTGTATGTTTTTAGGAAAGTTGTGATTTGTTGCACAACTTTTGGAAAAACGGGCAAACTTTTAAAGTTGTACGAAAAAACCAGCAACTTTGGTCGTTCAGGTTCTTTCTTTTCTTTCTTTTCTTTATTTTATTTCTTTCCTTCCTTCTTTCTTTGATTCTTTATTTACTTCTTACTTTCTTTCTTTTCTTGCCTTCCTTCCTTTCTTCCTTTCTTTCCTTTCTTTCTTTCTTTTCTTTCTTTTCTGTCTTGTCTTTCTTTCTTTTTTTATATATTTATTTATTTATGTTATTATTGCTTTCTTTCGTTCTTTCTGTCTTTCTTTCTTTCTTTCTTCCTTCCTTCCTTCCTTCCTTGCTTTACTTCTTTCTTTCTTTCTTTATGTTCTTCTTACTTTCTTTCGCTCTGTCTTTCTTTCTTTCTTTCTTTCTTTCTTCCTTCCTTCCTTCTTTGTTTTACTTCTTGATTTAGTCTTTCTTTCTTTCTTTCGTTCTTTCTTTCTTTCTTTTTTCTTTCTTTCTTTCTGTACTTATTTATTTCTTTTGTTTGTCTTTCTTTCTTTATTTCGTTCTTTCTTTCTTTCTTTCTTTCTTTCTTTCTTTGCTTTCTTTCTTTCTTTCCTTCCTTCTTTCTGTATTTATTGATTTTATTTGGTTTCTTTCTGTTTATTGTTTTTGTTTACTTCTTTCTTTCTTTCTTTCTTTCTTTCTTTCTTTCTTTCTTTCTTTCTTTCTTTCTTTCTTTCTTTATGTTCTTTTTACTTTCTTTCTTTCTTTCTTTCTTCCTTCCTTCCTTCCTTCCTTGCTTTACTTCTTTCTTTCTTTCTTTCTTTCTTTCTTTCTTTCTTTCTTTCTTTCTTTCTTTCTTTCTTTCTTTCTTTCTTTCTTTCTTTCTTTCTTTCTGTACTTATTTATTTCTTTATGTTCGTTCGTTCTTTTTTTCTTTCTTTCTTTGCTTTCTTTCTTTCTTTCCTTCCTTCCTTCCTTTCTTTGTATTTATTTTATTTGTTTTCTTTCTTTTTGTTATTTATTTCTTTCTTTCTTCCTTCCTTCCTTCCTTCCTTCCTTCCTTCCTTCCTTTCTTTCTTTCTTTCTTGCTTTCTCTCTGTGTCTCTCTCTCTCTCTCTCCTTCCATATGATCTATCTATCTATTTCTCTATCTGTCTACCTGCGCCTGACCTTGCAAAAGTGCTGCGCCTGCCACAAAACCTGCGCTTGACCTTGTGAAAGCCTGCACGAAATCACCTGACCTTGCGAAGGCGCTGCGCCTGCCACGCAATTTAAACCTAGCGAAACCCTGCGCGCCCGTGCCATTTGGGCAACTTTCCAGACCGCCGCGGCGCGCGGCGAGACGTGCGCTGAGCAGAGGTAGCCTTCCCAAACACAAAATGCTTTGCCTGCCACACAATTCCTTCCGTCTCTCTCTCCTTCTGTATATATCTTCTTTGTATTTCTATTTCTTGTATTTCTTGCTTACTTACTTTCTTTGCATGAGTCTGCTATTTCAGGTTTCCGTGCTAAGGAGGTGTTCTAACGGAACTTCCTTTGATAACCTTGATGTATGTTCCTCTGGGGGGGCACAGGTTTGGGGATGGTGGAAGCCGCGGGCGTGCTTTCTGTAGGGTAGCGTTGTTTTCGGCGGTTTGAGCCCTTGTGCATGAGCAATTACGAATGCCTTCCCCCTGGGCTTCCCCCGAAAAACCCGAAAAAGACCTGACACACCCATCGAATTCAAACCCATGCAAGCACATGCCCACTCCCGGGGGGTTTGGAGATCTTCCGGGGTGTCCGCTTTTCACCCTCAGAGGCCGCTTCAAATCCAAGCAAACCCAACTAAGGGTTATCTGATGCTTCTTGCAGGTACCTGATGTACCTGATGCTTCATGGTGGAAGGGCATTTCATTTTGTCTCAAAATGATCAGCAAGTCGTTTGGTGTCCTGAACAAACAGAAACTTGACAGAAAACTACACCCCAAACATGAGCAACGTTGTTTTTTAGCTCACAAGAAAACCGACACCCCCTGTGGCCCATTGGTGGTTCCCGATCGGTTTCCCCGACTGTTTCCTGACACCTTTAAACAAAAGGGGCCAGTTCCTATTTGAAGCCACACAGCAGAACAAGAACAAGACCTGGGAGTTGCAGCGGGGCGCCCACGCACTAAAGACCGATGGACAAGGTGGGAGTGATAACTGGAACAAAGTGACCAACCATATGGGTGTGTCGCTTTTTGGGGGGCACCCAAACAAATGTGGTTTCCTTGCACTTTTCCTTTGTGAAACCACAAGAAAAGGGGCACCCAACAAAAAGACGAACCCATATCGGACAAAAAATACATCGCGGGTTGAGGGAAGGCAAGGATTCGGTTTTTGGGGGGTCCCGGGGACAGACTGCCAACCTGCTTGAGCTTTCCATCAAGCATGTGGTTAGCAAAAAGAAGTCGAGTTCATCGTAATCGGAGTTTGCTCTGTCATAAGACGCATGGTCGTGGATATTTCGCTATGTTTTCACTTTCAGTCACCCATAAAATGAATGGATGCATCCTAACGAAGTCATCTTCAGCTCATAAAAATGTCAGTCAGCCAGACAAATTCTAAGATCTGAGCGTGGGTTTATCTTTGAGCGGAGAAGGGAGTGTTCAAACGTGTAAACAAGTGTTCAAACAACCGCCTGCAGGCTTGCCTCAAAGGGGGCCCAGGGCCTGGTTTAAACAAATGTTGCAAGTGGGCAAAGCACCCCACGCCAAATCAAAGGCGAGGCTCCCCGCCGTGATTGCACTTCGACGTGAAGCGCCAATACCTTGCCCCGTGCGGCTGCGAGAGCTGAAACTCCGCGTGGTCGTGGTCAGCATCGAAGACGAAGGAGCCCACGATCTGGAGAGCCAGAGATAGAGGTTGCCCTACATGGAACCTGACGACCATTCTCCTACGGAAACCCTCTTTCAAGTTCCACGGCTTTGGGGAAGGAAACCTCCCCACCCTCCCCAACCATAGGCTATGGATGTCCCCGCCTCCCAGGGCGCGCTCTCCACGGTCTCGTAGCGCAGCTCGGCGAGAAGACACTTGCTGATCTCGATGTCCTGAAAGGAAACGAAGGGCAACCTCCCAAGTAGTGGTGATTTTCGGATTTGAACCCCTGGCTCTTGTTCAGCAAATGGGAAGCGTACCCCTAACATCCAAGCCGCCAATTAGCCAAAAACAAGTTGCACCCTGTTCCCTGAAGAAACTGCACCAAGCAGCTGCCGGGGAAAAAAACAAAAAAAAACATGAGAACGCCTGCCGGGTGGTTTTTTTCTGTTGGCATCTTTTGGCCGGCATCCAATGTGGGGGGTCCAACTTGACTGGAAGCTCAAACCTACTCAAGCTTGCAAGGTTTGCTTCAACCCCACTCATGTTTGTTACCTTCATTCATTCAAACATTTCAGAAACATCATGCGAAGTCGCAACTGATTTTGCCCGTCCCCGGGTTAAACCCCCCAATTTCCTGAAGGTCAAAGGCCTGCTCGTTTGGTGCGACAAGTTGTTTGGAACCTCGGGTGGGTGAATTCCCAATCTGTCTATCTTCCTTCTTCTCTTTTTATCCAGTCACGCGCTCTGGGCTGAGTCTTCAAACTCGCTGCGCCCGCCGCGATATCTACACCTCAGGCTGCCAAAGTGTTGCGCCTGCCACACGGTCTGATCGCCAGTCCAACAAAGTGCTGCGCCTGCCACGCTATGTACCTCAATTTGCCGAAGCGGTGCGCCCGTCACGCAAAACTGACGTCGCAGAAAGCGCGCGCGTCCGTGCCAATGCGCCGGCGACCGAGCCCATTCCGAACCCGTTCCGGACCCGTCCCGAGGCCGACGTCCGTCAGGCGGCGCGACCACAGCCCGCCGGAGCTGCCAAAACCCAAAGAGGGTCACTCTTTTCGCCATTTCTATTCCCCGCCACACGCCCACGCACGTTTTCTCGCATGCACTCATTATCTCTTCATCTTATCTGTGCGCAGGACTTCAATGAGTGTCCGTAACACGGAAGGTCCTTCTAAACTTCCTTTGATTCACACATCCTGACTGGGCATTCACAAGAATCAAAAACGCGTTGCGCTTGTGAGCAACAACACTTGACTCGACGCGTCCGTCCTTGGGCGCGACATTCTTCTGTTTGCACCTCAGCCAGATCCGGTCCACCATCGTGCCCCCAAGGTCCTGAGGTGCGGAGTTTTCCACGGAGAGATCAAAGGGGAAGACATAGATGGATTTCTGTAGGAAAACACCCAAAATGGACGATTTCTCTTGGAATCCCCTTTGAATCACCCCGAAACAGGTATTCTCAAAAACACACACCCATATGTACATAGGATTTTCCCCACACCCGCCACTTTCGTCATGCGATTTTCTCATCTCTGGCCTCGGGTCTCCTTCGGGAAGAGAGATGGATTCGGGCAAATGCACAAAGCCGAACTTGAACCAGCAGGAGTCCCGACATTCGCTCAGCGACAGTAAGGCTACCTGTGGACCAAATCCACGCCAGGCACCAGTCTAGATGAAAACCCTATGAATGCTGGCTGATCAGCCACCTGGCAACTGGTGCCAATCGGCGCGGATTTTGGCCACATCTGCAACTTGCAGCAAAAAAACACCAAAACCAGACATAAGGCCTGCCCAAGCAAAAGAGGCTCTGCATGCTCGTTTTATCCCCCTTTGGCCCCAATAGGCCAATTGGCCCGAAGCCCAGCCGAGGAGCCACCACGACGGACAAGTCGTGCTGCACGCGCGGGCACCACCCGCCAGCCTTGCCGTAGCAGTGGCTCGCTTGGTTGAACTTGTGGGAGGCCCAGACCACCTTCGTCGGGTCCTGCGAGACCCGAAGCGACACTCTGTAGCAACCGGCAAAACTTGCTCCGTGTCTTCTTTCCCTCGAGGCGGTTAGCTTCCCCCGTTGCCCATGTACCCCCAAGAAGGGCTTCAGGTCTCCATCCAAACCACGGGTTGCCTGAGAGAGATTCTCTGGGAAATCCACGGGCTTTGTTGGGAAGGGCCAGGTAGTGGAAATTCCTGTAGCTACGAGTATGGATGGCCCCAACGATGGCTTCGGTGTTTCCATTCTGAAAAAAAAGACCAACCCAAATAAGGGTAGCGAGCCTCAAACTAAGCACACACACACACACACCAACAGTTGTTTTTCGCACTTCCGTGGATGGCACCAAAAACCGCCCACACTTTGTGGTTTGCCCACGAAACATGTCTTTCCCAAAAACACTGACTTAAGCTCAGGAATTCCGGGGAGTGAGGCGCTTAAGGACTCCATGACTTATGCACCCCCAAAGGCACTCCCAAGCTCCATATTCAGTTTGGGGCTAGTGGAAATCATCATAGGGAGCTGCAAACTTTTATGGGCTCCACTGTGTGACATGGCATCTGACAAAGGGTCCCTTCACCCTCCCACATTTGCTATGGTCATGGGAGGAACGGTATGTGGCGCTATCAGACCCCAACCAAAGTGCATTCCCAGAAGTGCATGTGTGGCTAGGATGCTTAATGGCTGGAATACTGTACCCTCAAACATAATTTACTGGACACACACACAATAAAATGAAACAGACACGGAGCAATGTCAATACTCGAGAATAGCAACATATGGGATGTGTGTCTGATGAAAATTGATAATGGAAATGAACATCTAAAAATAATAAAGATTGAAGAGCAAATACATCTGTTTGCTCTTGAATATAAATCTCAGTGTGTATCAAAATAACAGGCCCTGGCAAAATGGCACTTCGTCTTTGGACGTCCTTGCATTTGGCGCGAGATGAAACTTGCAAAGCCCTGAAAAAGAGCCGAACCTTCCGTGTGTTGGATGGGCACTTTTCCACCGCAAAACGGTTGGCCATGTCTCTCAAAATTAGGGGACCCCTTTTTGGACGGTGGGAAGGCAATGGAGGCAAGGATGCCAATGGTGCGAAGCCAGGGCTCAAATCCCCAAAAGCGTCCTGCGGGTACCATTTGGAGCCCTTCTTGCACTTCAGGAGATTCGAGGGCTGTAGGACAATCACCTGAGCGATCGCGGATCGGCGATGGCAGGCGTCTCATTCACTTGGCGCCCTCTCTGGGCATACCTCACGAGAGACCTCGGAAAGGCATCGACCTTCGATGAAGACCTTTAACTCCATGTTCAAGGGGGCCTTGTTTGGGGGGTTGGCTTTAAAGGACCGAAGGGAAACTGCCCTTTGCGAAGGGGTTCGACCTTGAAGCGGGAACCAGAACAGAATCGGCCGGCCGTCTTTTTCAGTGGCTCGGGTTTGCCAAGGGGAAGCCAAGGCCATGTTCTGCGCCGCTCCCTGTTTTCCACATCACCAGATTGTGTTCAAACTGGTGACACACCATATGATTTCTATATCAGCTTTGCTGACAAGAAATGACTCACCATTGGCAAACGGGCCCTAGCCTTCGCTAGGGGTGCCACAGCCTGCACTGATGCACTGACCCGTGTAGCCAATGGACGAAAGAAGGGCCCTTCTCCACCAACCCCCGTCCAGAAATGAATCCGCGGTGGGCGGGTGGGAGCCCAAAACTCACGTGCAAGCGGTCATGTGTCAGGGGCAGTGAGAACTCGAACATGCCTACTGAACAACATCATAAGGACATGTTCTGCGCCGCTCCCTGTTTTCCACATCACCAGATTGTGTTCAAACTGGTGACACACCATATGATTTCTATATCAGCTTTGCTGACAAGAAATGACTCACCATTGGCAAACGGGCCCTAGCCTTCGCTAGGGGTGCCACAGCCTGCACTGATGCACTGACCCGTGTAGCCAATGGACGAAAGAAGGGCCCTTCTCCACGTACTCCAGACTGGCCACTGCCGTTAAAGGAAAGCTGCAAAACGACGCAGCACATGCTGTTGCGAGGGTGTCAGGGAGTAGTGGCTCAGGGAAGCCGCGGCATCCTGCAAGTAGATGCGAGCAGTCGCTGTGGACTGCCAGCGGCCTCGCAACAGGGTACTCTCTAGGGATTGGCACCCCAGAAAATGCCAGGTTGCTCCGCCGCGGCGGAAAGAATACATAGAGAGATTTCCACGGATGCTGAAGAAGTCCAAAAGGTTGAAGAAGAGAGAGCGAAACAGCTGAGGGGAGCGATCAAGTAAAAGGGCATCGGGGTGCTTGTCCCTGGTGACGCGAAGAAGCCATTTGTTGGTCACCGCGCTTTCGCACAGCACCATCTCGTTGGCACCTTTGCGAATCCCTGTTTTGGTGTTGGCCAAAGTCAGGACGGCTTGACCAGAGGCCCAAGTGAGATCTCTCACCCTCAACTTATAGAGCTCCCCCGGCCGGAGGAGGGCATCAAAGGCAACCAAAAAGGCCGTCGCCGCCTCCGGCCAGCCCAAATAAACGCAAAGGCCAGAGAGACCTACCACCATCAAGGGGCTGATAGGTAAGACCCGCACGGGCGGCTCGAATTTCTGCCAGGTGCGCAGCAATCTCCAACTATGTCGCAATTTTCCTGCAAGTTCAGGCAGGAAGTGCTGCAACGCCGCCAAGCCATCTGAACCATAGCCTTTGGGAAACCCTTCTGCAAAAAGATGCTCCAGCCAAGCACTGGTGGCCAAGTCGAAATCATCCCAAGACTTTGGCGTTTCGCGATGCTCAGACCAAAACTTGAGGATTCGTTGGGCAGCCACACAATAGCGAGTGTGCAAAGGCGACGAGACTACCTGCTCTTGCAAGGTGAACCCCCGCCGTTGCCTTTTGCGCGCTTGCTGCGCCTCTTCACGAACTCCCATCGAGATGGGATGTCAGCAGGATTGTCGTGCGTGCTCACATATCCCGTGGAGAGATATACGCCCCCTGCCAAACACAGGGCTGAGAGTTTCTTGATTGCTTGAGCCAACCGGCGGCTGGAGGACCGGCCTTTCACAATAATGGAACAGACCACTTGTGAATCAACAAGATGCAAGACACGTTTTCGGAAATTGCGCTTGCTTCTTAGTCTCCACTGTAGCGAGTTCACCACAGCCTGCATCTCAAGAACATTGATATGCGCAGGATGAGTCCAGGGATAGCCATGGATAAGTCTCCATTCAAAGAGTTGGGTTTGTATTCCTGCACGAGGCCAGGCTTTGATTCGGTAAGGGATGCCAACGCTCAGCTTCACATCAGACCCCCCCTTGTCTGCGGTGCGGAGAAACTCCTGAATCAAGTCACGTGACTGGTTTGTGGCTCGGCTATCCTGCGCAAATTCAGGCAAGGCGCACCACCCAGCCGGAGCTTGGCCATGGTGCTGCAACAGTTGAACATGGTCCCGAGGAGCACGCAGAGGGGCCACATAGTCAAGGAGACTATCTATGAGGATTGTCATGACGTGAACGTTGAAAGAGTTACCAATCATGCTGGCACCAACATCAAACTGCTTCTGCACTGACCATTTAGGATTGAGACAGTTGTGGATATAGCCACGGTCGAAGCCCATAAGCCTTTCACGCTCCGTCAGCGACGGAGTGCGTAACTGCGACCCTGCTTGCACAAGGAAAGCTTCCTCATATTGATAAACTTGAAAACGATGATCATCTGCTGACCATCGAGCCACTGCGCTCGGCGACGCCCCTGCCAGCCCAGCCGGGGAACGAGGGGGCTTTTTGTTGGGCAGGGAGCGGGTGAGCGTAGGCAAGGGCCCAGTTCCGTGAAAGGTACATCCTGAGTCCACCCAATGATCTATGGGAGGACGAACCACCGGCAAGACAAGCTCTTGAAAGCCCCGATGTTCAACCATAGTCTCCCCATTGTGAGTGTTCACGTGCCAATCCACCCAAAAATAGCGTGGCCTCCTGCACCATGAGATGCGATGGCTATCTATGAGGATTGGTGGCCGCCCCAGAACTGCCGTAAAATTGTCGCGGTTTTCATCACTCATTGACTGAACGTTCTCGACAAATGTGAACACCGGGCACGAGAAACACTCCCTCAAGTGCTGGAATATTTGAGGCATTTCGTAAAACAACTTCGACCGCTCGCCGGACAACCCCTGTCGATTGGCCAACAGGGAGGAGAGGTCTTGACAGGGGCTGCCTCCCCCTGCCAGCACAAGGTCAACCTGATACCCAAGGGATTTTGATAGCGCTTCAATTGTGGCGCGGCTGACGCCCTTGATATCTCCAAGCTCTATCACTCCCGGCCACCGGCGCCTGACCAGGCGCTTGCACTCCACATCAACCTCGGAAGAGGCAAAGCCAATGACTTGACAGTCGAGTCTGCAAAGCGCGCACATCAGTGCTGCAACTCCGTCGAATAAAGAAAGCACAAATATTCGAGGACCCGTTTTGGCCTGGATCTCCATCCCACCTAGAGGTGAGAAACAAGTGAGCCTCTCCTTGATTACCTCTGGCGACTGCAGGTGCTTCAACAGATTCTTCCCCTCTTGAGTCAATGCACCCGACGCACAAAGTCCACCACCCGACTCGCTTGCATCGCTACAGGTGGCTACCGGGTCTACCTGCGCTCGCAGGTCAGTCCCAGCCAGGGGCAGCAGCGCAATGCTCTGCAACACCTCGAACATGCCCTTGGCAGAGAGGCGCTGGCGCTGATGAACCGGTCCTCGAGGCCAAACCTCATGGAGCAGTGACATCAGGGGTCTGCGGAACTCAAAGCATCGGACCAACCGCCCCAAAACCATGAGCCTAGCTTTGACCGTCGGCCATCGGTTGCCCAGCAGTTCTAGCCCATACCAGGCCACCTCCATCTTCTTTTGCTTGGGTGCAGAGATTCGGCCCAAAATCCCATTAATCTCAGCCCCCATTCTGATGACTCGGGGTTCGCGAACCTGCGCCTTATCTTCTGCAATCCCAATTCCCCATCGTTTGTAAGCCTGCCTCTGAACTTCATGAAGCGGGCCAACAGTGCCTCTTTGGGATTCCCAGCCCTCACTGGGTATAAGCTCCGGTGCATCGAAGTCATCCAAGTAGAACTGGACGAAGTGGCGAGCGGTTCCTTGGGAGTCAAAGGGGATCGGTCTGTCACGTCTCCATTCAATTTCAGCGGGATGGCCAGCGCCTTTTGGCGAGGGGGCCATGCCTACCTGTCGATGTAAATGTTGAAAAAGGCTCACTGCGTTTATCCAGCCCATGGGCACTACTGTGGCTGCAACGTAAGTCCAGCGGCATTGAAGCCCGAGCGCACTTCCCGGCACGGGCCACCGGAAACTCATCAAAGGCTTCCAGGCAGGTGGCAACTTCCAGGCATAGAAGGCACCCCGCTGGTCCTCACTTGACCACAGGAGCACATCCTGCTGTCGCAGAATCAAACTGCACCATCCAGTGGAGGATGCCAGGGTGCTTAAATCCCCAGCCATCAACTTCTGGTATGAGTTCCCGGGTATCATATTCATGATCAGGCGCGTCACCCGGCACTCACCAGGCGCAGCCTTCCCCTTTTTTTCCACAGCGAAAGCACCGTTCAACACCGGCACATTGTCAACCTTAAAGATGTCGCCGTAAGCTATGGGTTCAATGATGCCCCGTTCAAAGAGGATACCACAAAGTTTATACCACTCTTCTTTAGTGCTGTTGATGCGAGCCTTCGGCACTGTTGTTGGCCACTCCTCCCTGGGTTTCATTGCCAGCCCAGGGTCCTGCACCCAGGCGCGCACCTGAGGATCAGCAGCCTCCACTGCGCTCAGAGTGCCAGCAATACCTGAGACAGGAAGACCAGGCAACAGCTCTCCTACCTTAAGAGGAAGTGCGTGGGAAACTTCGTCTCCTGAATAATCAATATCTTTAGACTTGGTGATTTCCGAGAAAGGCCGAATGGCGAAGGCTTCAATGGGTGAACAGCAGAAATCTTGGACCCACGAATCAATGACAGCCCAGGCTTCTCTCTGTGACGATGTCGGGGGTGTGCAACATAACGGCGCCCTCTTCTCCCCTGAACTAGCCGCCATCCCATTGAGACTGCATGTAATCAAGAACCTCCAAACCTGACAGCATCCATCCAACAAAAGCTTTTCACGCTGTTGACGGTGTTGGGTTCGACTTGAACTCAACATGCCTTTGTGCGTCATCAGCAATCCGGACGGGGACCGCTCCATGAGTCTTAGCATACGAACTGCAGCTCCCACAGGTGGCAAGGGTAGTGGGAAAATTCCCTTACCACGAAATGGTGATGTGGAAAAACTTTTCTTCAGTGCCTCAGGCAGCGTTTTCATCCAATGCCCATCCACTGGGCCATGAAGCAGGAGCTGCAGTGTGGTGACTCCGAGTTGGGTGACGCAGGGCCAGCTCAACATCGCTTCTTTGCACAGTTTGTGAAAATCGTCCGAAAACTGAATCTTCAGCAAAGTAACAAACTCGAGACAACTGTTTTGGTGGCCCGCCGTCCCGGCAGATTCCCTGGCGTCCCGAGGAGCGTTGTCAGAGGTTAACACCCCTGGTGAAACTAGACCCTCCGTCCCTGCCATCACAGGGGGTAAGAGGTCTTCTGGCTTCCCTGCGTCTGCACAGGGCCCTGCCAACACAGGGGAACCAATCACTTCTTCTTTGCCTTCCCGTGGAAGGCCTCCTCTGCCCTGCGCTTGTGCTGAAAGACCCGACTCTTCCACGCGGCCCTGGTCTCGCCTTCTTGTCTGGGAACTTCGGCACGGGCTGTCGACATCCGCATCATTCCAGGGTGGTCTGGAGACTTTGGTTGGGGCGGATCTGCCAAGGTCACCTGCTTCCCTGGTCGTGGCAACGGGCTCCTCTCGCGGCTGCTGATTGGGGGTCTCTCTTCCCTCTCCGTCTTCCTGGACTCCTTCAAAATTGAACCCTTCACTGGTGGGGGGTGGCGCTGAGAGCCTGATGGGGGTGTCAAAGCCATCAGACTCCCGCCGAGTCCCTAGCCCGTCATCTTCTTCAGAAGGGCATCGCTCTTTGCCGTCTTCCACGCCACTTGACGGGCATAGCCCGCCTCCGCCTCAGTTGTGCCGGTCGGGTAATCGTCGAACGGGATCAATTCAAGGTACTTGGAGGCCGCGTCTGAACCGTCCCGAATGGAGAGCAGGATGGACTTGAAGCGCTGCATGAAGATGTCTGCGGCATTGGTGGGCTTTCCTGACACTAAGTAGTCCAAGCCCATCGCCAGAGTCCTCAGCTCCCTCAACCGCTGCTCACCTAGGGTCTTGCGGTCAATCAGCGGCATGGCAGCAGTGAGAAGGTATCTCACAGCAGCAGGCTGGAGAGTTCGCTCGATCCCCTCCTCGCCGGCCCTGGCCTCACCAAACATAGTGCCCAGCTGCTCGTGCATGAGCCCATACCCCCGCAGGAGTAAGGCCCCTGGCTTCTCCAGGGCAATCTTCTTCAGGCGCCTCTGCCTGCTTGCAAGCTCCCCCGCGTCTCCTCGTCGGAAGACGGTGTCATCGCCTTCTGACTCGTCTTCAGAGCTGCTGCTGTCCTCGCTGAAGTCCTGCTTCTTTTTGGAAGTTATCTTCCTGAGCGCAGCTGCCACCTTGTCCTGACGGTCTCGCTTCTTTTCCTTTTTCTTCTTGCGCTCGCTCTCCTGCACTCTCAGCGCCAGCACTGCACCGGCATCCTTCTTGGAATCCTTCTTCCTTCTGTCCTCTCCCAAGGTGGCCCTTAGCGAGTCAAGGTCCTGCTCGACTATGCCAAGCTTCCCACGGGGCTCGACCTCATCGGTCAAGATGGCGTCCAACGCTGTAGGCGCCTTCCTGCTCTTGCTCTCCTTCCTTCGGTCTTTCGGCTTTCGCGAGCAGTCGCCTCTGGAATCATCAGAGGGGGACTTCTCTGTTCTCTTCCTTCGCTTCGACTTTTCGCCTTCCTTCTCCTGCCTCCTCCCAGCCCTCACTGGGACTAGATTGGGGCTGTCAGAATCGAAATCCGTGTCCAGGCTAACTTCTTGGACCCCAGCCTTTGGTGCCCGGGTGGCTGGTTTGCTCTTGGGCTGCGTCTGCACCGGTTCCTCCACCCATTCCTCTCTCCTGCCGGGCAACTTGGGCTTCCCCAAGTCAGGCAAAGGTTTCGTCTTCCAACCTTGCACCACCGAAGAAACTTCTCCGGCCGTCACTGCACGCCATCGTTGAATGTGCACCACGCCCTCACGGCCCACCTTGCGCTGACAGCTTCGGAGGGAATGTCTGCAAAGATGGTGGAATTGGTCCTGCCCATGAGACGTCTCAAGCCAGTGCTGATAGTAACCATCTGATACTTGAATGTAAGCGATCTCGACAAAGCCACCGTCATCGTCATGTCGGAACTTCTTGATCAGCTTCGCAATCGCATATCCCTGAGAATTTCCAGAGTCGTCTAAACATTCAAAGTACAGGTGATCCTTCAGCCCATCATAGAGCCCAGAGAAAACCTCACTCCGGGCTTTGTAGCCTTCGTAAAGGCTATCCCCTGCAGCCATCACTGCAGGGGCCAAATGCACCCAACGGATGCACCCTTAAGCCCAAAACTCACGTGCAAGCGGTCATGTGTCAGGGGCAGTGAGAACTCGAACATGCCTACTGAACAACATCATAAGGACATTTTCGATCGTTCAAAGAACAACCAAAGGGACGCCACAGCGCAGTTTGGGTTCCACCATTTTGGAGAAACCCGCATGAAACAAGCCATAGACTTTGAGACCACACAAAATCGGCTGTCGGAGAAAAGAAAAACACATGGCGCCCAAGCGGATCCGGTGGATATCAATTCGCACCTCTTCGGGTTTGGGTTCTCCCCTACCTCACACACCCCTCGCCTCCTCCACCTCCGCCTCGCGAATGAGGCGCTGGTTGTTGCTTGCGTGGCCCTTGGTAAAGCTGATACCGCAGTCGAGGTCCTCCGACAGCCACTTCTGGAGCCTCAGGAAGGACCTGACTTCTCAGCTGCGCCAGCTACCCCCCGTTTTGCGGGTTGAGCTTTTTGAGGCTCGGAAGAACGGGAACAGAACAAAAAGAAACGAAAGCATGGTAGGACACACCCCACACCAAAAACAAACTCCTCCTCAAGAGGGGGCCAGTTTTTTTGGGGTCCCACAACCCGAAACGTCTTTCAAGGGCCCAAAAGGTTCATGGGAAGATGCCTCACTGCATGCTTTTTTCGAGTGCTTGGTCCAGAGCCAAAACAGCCAGGACAAAAAGGCCAAAACTGGCAAGTCCCGTACCGGAAATGGCTGATCAAAGCAAGTGAATACAAGGTCCTCAGCAAATAGAATGGGTTTGAGGATACTTGAAATCCAAATTAAGTCATGATCATAAATCATAAGCAACAAATCATGTGAAATTACACAGCCCCTTGTGTTGCCCAGGTTGGAAGCAGCCTGGAAGACTCAACAATCCAACAGCAAATATTGAACCTTTCTATGCAGCCCCCCTGGCAAAATTCCAAGGCGATCAAAGGACAACCCTGGTTCCTAAGGCAAGCACAAACACATTGTTGAAAATTGATGCAAGAACTATCCGGAGCGATGGCACTCAAAACAGTCCCTGCAACATTCTTCACGGGGAAGACCTCTGCAAATGTGCGCAAAGCCTTGCAAACCGTTTAGTGTTTGTTGTTTTTTTGCGGACAGTGGCTTCAGGTACTTCCCATGAACAGATGTCCAGTTCTGGATATGTTCAGTGCGTCATGCCCGTTGGCTCTTTTTGGCAGGTGCTGACACCACTCTGGACGCGTGGTGGTCCATTCCTCGCTGTTTTGGGCCACTTGCTGGGATGTCCTCTCTGAAACCGCCCTTCCAAACAGAAAGGTCATTTTTGAAGTATCCAACCCTCGGTTTTACACGCCTCCCCCCCCCCGAACCTGCCTCTCAGATTTTACCCTGCGACTGAAAATCGCATTTGTAGATTCTTGTCCTGTGTGCGTGTCTTTGTCTTTGGAGGTACCCTCTTTCTTTTAGGTTGGTGGGAAAAGTATACCCAAGCACCACCCTTTGCGGGGGTTCTCGTGTCTCAAGACCATCCGGACAGGCGAATTTTCGTCGCCCCCGCTTCCCCTTCGCAAGCCGGCAGGAGGCCTCATGCAGACCTATCAGCCTCCAAAAGCCTCAAAAATCCGCATGAAAGCTGTGGAAAGGGCGGAGAACATACCTGACGGTCGATTCAGGTTCCTAGGCTCCCAAGTCAGCTTGGGCAGGAAACATGGAAGCAACCCTTTCTGTGATCCAAAACAGTCCATCCCCATGACTACTTGATGACGTAAGGGGGTCCTTCGGCCAGGGACAAAAAATGACGCCCTGGCCAACCCTATTTCCCCAGAATCATGGCAAATCTGCAATTTCCAGAACAATGTCCACCTGAAATAAAAGAGGTCACCCCAACTAGAAACCAATAGGCGCGAATTTGACGTGACAACATAGCTCAAAATGGGATTCATTCCCCTAAATGGTTGAGCGTCTCCTATTCTCTTCTAGGAGACACACTCATACATGACTGGTGGCTTAAGGGCTGCTGGTTTGGAGGGGTTGCCCTTATCTATTTGGTTCTGTCAACATGGGCAACCCCCACAACCACAGAGGTTCAACCAGAAGAAAAATAACCTTGCCATTCAATGACAAGCCTCATATTCAGCCTGTGGCAGACCCAACAGCAAGTCAACCATGTCAAAAAATCCCCTCACATGTGCGGAAACTTTTTGACGACCCGGGTGTTTCTCAAAAATTAGTTTCACCTTAAACTCCTGGACCTAGGGCCCTCTTTGAGGGATCAGTTCGCTTTTTTGGAGCCCCACGAAGCCCTGTTCGGCTTTACCGGCATGGTGGCCAAGGCACAGGTCTTTGGCGTGGCGCTTATGCATCTGTGACCAGGCCGCTGCCACCACCGCCACCCCTTTGCCTTCCCGCAGCTCCTCGTGAGCCAAACGAGCCAAACGAGCCAAAACCAAGCGGTGTGAAAGATGTAGCAAGAGATCTGACCGTAGGGTTGAGCGGTGGTTTCCGTTCACTCAAAGTGATTCAGCTTTAGCAGGAGATTGGAGAAAAAATGTAAGGAAACATAGGGTTGAGTGGTCGTTTCCACCCTATGGTTCCTTACTCCACAGTGGTTCCTACTCACCCTAGTGGTATAAAAAATATGAGGAACCAAAGTTAAACTTTTAGGAGATCGGAGGAGAGTGTAAGGAATTTAAAAGGAACCAATCTTCCCAGAGCCATGTCAGGAATTAGGAAGGCGATATCTGATTTATGGTTGGTCGCCTAACCTTCATCTACACGGGTTTGACTGTAGCTCAACTGGCTGTGCCTGAAAAACACAAAAGACTTCCCAAAACGGCACCGTACATGGAACCGACCAAATATCCTGGAGCCTAGCCTCTTTATAAGTTCAGCCACCAAATATCTGAGGGAGGTGAATGTTTACTGCCTGGGTTAGGCATGGTTTAACACACAAAAATCAAGCCCCTGCCTCAGTGGCTTTCTTCTGCTCGTGATCGTCCTTGAAGTCCCCAAAGACTTTCATCACGTGGTGCTCATGCCCTGAGCGGCTTTGAAACAGCTGTTGCTAAACCACCTCTTGTCTTTTGGACTTGTTCTCCGAATACCCCAAACACGCAAAGAGGAAACCCGCCTGCTTTGGGGCATCTGTTGCGAATGTCCAAGGAAAAACACGGCCGAAGACGGTGAACTCTGTAATCCACCGAGATTTATGAGTTTAAGTCCAAAAGTTCGGGAATCCGCCGGATCTCTGCACTTTTTCGCAGAGTCATGATAGGGGTTCCTCCAGAAAGTTCACTTTGGCATTCACAGGAATCCCGATTTGGGATTCCGCGGTGTTTTTCTTGACTCTCGTTGGGCCGCGACCCAACGTCTCAAAGAAAACGATACGCTGGCGACAAGCTGCCTAAGATCCAGTCTTTGAGTCGGAGCCCGATGCTAAGATCCAATCGGTGTGCCATGTGTCTATAGAAACTCATGGGAAGATATCATAGTATATCATAGTCTGTAAAAGTACCCGAAGTATATCCTACTATATCGTAGTATGTCAAAGTTAGCCGAAGTGTATCCTACTATGTCAAAGGGTCATTTAGGAGGACAACAGTTTCTGCCTCATTGGGTCTGCAAAGCCGTGTGGGTCACAAGTTCCAAGCCCTTTGTGTGGCCGACATGGGGTCGTCATTTACAAAATATTGTTCTGGTTGTAAAAACAAAAAGACACGAGGCACAACGTGTGTTCTAGCAGTGTATATCATGTATATCATAGTACGTCACAGTGAAAAATTGAACTATAATATGCTATGATATGTAATATCATGCCAGAGGGTATATCATGGCATGTCGAATAGTTATGTGTAGTAGGAAAAAATGGACACTCATTTCGGCTTCTAGACCATGGCCATGGACATTCCGACTTCGCGAATCCCTCACTCGCAAGGCAAATCAGCGACTTTGGGTTTTCTTTCCACGAACAGTTTGGCACAAAAACATGCCGGACATCATCAAGCCCATGGGTATGGGCGTTGCTGGACAACCCTTCAGCGGATTCGGATTTGGGAGGACATTCGTCGCGAAAAGTCGTAAAAGCACACCCGAAACAATGAAATGAAAGGCGCCGTTCCATCGCCCTTTCGGGGGTGGGGCCACCAACCGGCACAGGAGTTGCATTTTTGAGGGACAACCCCATCGGCTGTTGAGAAACCAACAAGAAATCTAAATATAAGCCAGACAGCAGAAATACTCTGCGTTCAAAGTGAAACAAAGCCAAACCCTTGATCGAACTGAGAGAAACATTAAACAAGGCCAAGTCTTCCAACTTAGATGGTCCGGGACTTAGCTAAGCGGCTTGTAACCGTGACTATAAACCGCTTACCACGGTTCTAAGTCCCCTAAGTGGAATATAACCATTCAGCCAAGTCCCGGACCATCTAAGAGCTAGCCTAATCTTGCGGCGATGCGCTGTTTGACGACCTCCCCCGCGCCTTTGCCCGCCCACGTCAGCAGCGCATGGCTGAAATCGCCCATGTGATCCTTCGGGGGTGCTAAAATCGGACATGGGCAACTTAGATGGTCCTGGACGAATCGTTGTAAGAGTCCTTGCCAAGGCTTTTCAGAATCACTGTCAAGGCCTTGTAAGAGTCCTTGTGAGGGTCCTTAAGAGTCCTTGTGAGGCCTTGTAAGGGTCCTTGCAAGGCCTTTTAAGAGTTCTTGCAAGGCCTTGAAAGAATCCTTGTAAGGACTTGCAAGAGCCCTTGTAGGGCCTTGTAAGAGTCCTTGAAACGCCTTGTAAAGCGTTTCCAGGGCAGTCCTTGCAAGCCCGTAAGAATCCGTGTAAGGCCTTGTAAGAGTCCTTGTTAGGCCTTGTAAGAGTCCCTTGTAAAACCTTCTAAAAGTCCTTGTAAGGCCTTGTGAGAGTCCGCGCAGGGCCTTGCAATCGTTGCAAGGCCTTGTTAGAGTCTTTGCAAGGTTTGTTTTGCGCTACTAGGATCGCTTGTTGTTGCGCAACTAGGGGCGCTGGTTTTTGTTCGCTATTCGGGGCGACTGTTTTTACGCTAGTAGCCGCTTGTTTCACAACTAGGTGTTTCTATTTCGTTCTCAAAGTCGAAGTTTTTACGCGACTAGTTGCTTTTCTTTCGCTATTCAAATGCCATTTCAAAGGGAATGCAGCTTTTGGAGACCTCAGGGCCTTTTCGGACGCATTCAACCGACAAACCGGCAAACCCATAGAGGCTGGCCGGAATCTGGATGGTTCCACCGGGCTTTGGATCTGCATCCGTTTTGAATCCGCTGGCCTCCAGAGCGACTCAATGCGCGCTTCGGATTTCTAGGCGTGGCGGCGGGTGCTGATTGGTTGCCAGACCATGGGCTTGTGGACTCCAAACGGAGATTGTTTGAAGCGTTGAAAGCCAGTGGAGCAAGGGTTGGTTCTTTCAACCAACGCTGCCGAGCCCTCTTTCCACTCAAGTAATATCCTCCAGAGTACCTCGAGAAAGCAATACTGGGAACGAGCCACTCAAAATGCACGACTTGCGTAGGACCATCACTTTGACCGCGACTCATGCAGCTGTGCCACAATGCACAATTCTCAAATGCAACCACCTGAAGGGATTCAAGCTGAAGGTAGTGACATCTATTTTCCGCCAACCCGAGCTTGGTGGCGGTGGCAATTACCCCCTACCCAAACAGTTTGTCTTTCTGCCGGTCACTGGAAAAATCATGTTTTTCTCCCAAAGTCAAAGGTTAAAGACCCAACTAAATAGTCAAGGACAAGTCACACTTTGTTTGGACCCAAACTGATTTGCCATCGATTCTCCACCAAATACCTTTTGGTCATCTACTTGGATGTTCGCCCAACCTCAGGTAAGTAGCTTATAACCACGGACAACTTCTCACGGCTTGGGGACTCTCGTCCCCTTATCCAAGCTACCTACAAGAACCCAGCTCCAAAAGGAAACCGCCCACTTTGGGGGGGTTCTTTTCGAGTTCCTCTGACACCGATTGGAACACCAGGCCCCTTTGTAGTGCTCCTCCTTCAGCCAGGTGTTCTCAGAAAAGACCACCAGCCTTCCCGGCCCCACTTCCGCGCAGGCCACGCTGCAGCCGCGGGACTGCCGAAAGCGCAGCTCGCTCCCAAAAATAATGAAAAACGCGGCCGGGGGGGGGGGGGGAAGGGGCGGTTCTGGCTTATTGTTTTTTGCGGAAAACGCGTTGAGGGTCGGACGCCCAAAACTGTGTCACCCAAAAATATGCGGGCAATGTCTGTGTTCTGGGTGCGCCTTCCAAGTCTGGAATTCGACAAAGCCATGGGGTTTCGAAGGCACGAGATGGGCTTCGGAAGTCCCTTCCTTTTACCAGGGCCTTCTCAAGAAAGGCGGAATGTCCCAAAGCGAATTTGCTTGAAACCAACTTCCCCAATCCATTTCCCGGACCAGGGGAAACTGGAACGGCCAAGGGTTGCCGGTGGCTAGCCCGGGATCCACCAAGAAACACATGGGGTTGGCCAAGCAAGCCTAAAAACAAATACACAAACATTGTAATCCAAAACGCAACCCAAATGGGCTAACCAAAAACTCGGCTTGACTCCCCACATGTCCAACCTCAACATCACACTCCCCCGGCGTTCTGATCCTTAGCCGCCGTGACCCATTTTTTTCACGCGCGCTTGCACGTCCCTCTTTTTTTAGGCATCCTGGAAAATGGAAATGGGGACTCCCATACCGGAGTTCAAAAAGGAAACCAACAGGAAGCTGCCCGTTTCTACAAGAATGAAGTGTTGGACTTCTCCCTCTTAGTTGTCATCCTATCACAAGTTCTACACCATTGCGACCCGCCTTCGCTGCGCCGGCAACCGGCACTGCGCTGCCGTACACGTCCCTTGGTGATGGATCCGATCCCTCAACAAGTCAATCCAGGCTGAACAATTCGAATGGGGGTTTGGGATGCCGTACAACTTGATTCAGTCAAAACTATGGGAAAAATATGTTAGGGGAATTGTTGGGGATTCTTCAGCCCCTTGTATTGCTCACCTGCAGATTCACATGGAACCTCACATCCCAGACTTCTTCTGGGGCTCCAGGTCTATCTGCAGGGGAATAACTGGTTGATTTTTACAAGGGAGCATGCAAAAAACAAAAACAAAAAAGGGGGTGAGAAAACGGGCAAACCTCCTTGTGCAGAAAACCCGCAAGGGCAATACAGCAGAAAGTCTGAGCGACTCCAATAATCATACAATTCGACACGAGGGTGTTGGCAGACTACCATCTTGAAAGAGGCCCCGCAACATGGGAAAAGGCCAACCTAGGCTCTCAAAAACTACTCAAACATAACAATAATAATAAATAAATAACAATAATAATAATAATGATATAATGATATAATGATAATAATACTAATAATAATAATAATAATAACAAAAATAATAATAAAAAAAAATACTAATAATAATAATAATAATAAGAATAATATTAATAATATTAATAATAATAATAAAACAAACAATAATAACAAAATCAATAATAATAAAAAAAAAAACAATAATAATAATAATAATGATAATAATAATAAAACCAATGATAATAATAATGATAATAATAAAAACAATAATAATAATGATAATACTAATAATAATAATAATAATAATAATAATAATAATAATAATAATAATCATAATAATAATAATAATCATAATAAATAATAATAATACTAATAAATAATAATAATAATACATAATATTAATAATAATAATAAGAATAATAATAATAATGACAATAGCAGTGGTGAAAATAATAATAATAATAATGACAATAGCAGTGGTAAAAATATTAATAAAATAAAAATAATAAGAAAAAGAACTGGGGGATGTCGCTTCCCCATGCTTCCCCCGCAAACCGCGTCCCATGTCATTGGATTTTTGGCTCAAAGCCCCGGCCACGGCGCAAGGTGCCCGCGAAATGCTTGTTCGGCAGTCTCGGGGCGTCCTCGGGCAAGTGCGCCAAGGCGGCGCGCAGCTCCTTCGATGCACCGGGTTCGGCTCTAGGTCGAAAAGACTTAGCTCCCTTTTTGTGATCGAAGCATTTGGGGTTTTGGGGTTTCATGGGCTCGGACCACAGCAACCATAGCAAAAGGGTTGGACCCTTGGCCAATCCAGGGAAGTCATGTGGCGGATGAAGCAGAAATTCCTGCTTAGTCATATGAACATGCTCCCCTCCAACAGTGAGAAATCAGCACTAAAACCGGGGACACCAAACAGGGGTTTAATCCTGGGTCCACTTCGGGTCCAAAGGTCGGCTTTGAGCTGCGAAGCCCAGCCCCGGGGACGGGTAAGCTATCTTGAAGTCAAGTGGTGTGTGTCCCTTCTGCGTTCCCAGTTTTCCTTTCGCAGCCGCCTCTAGCGCATGCGAGCCGCCGCCCCCGGGGTAGCCACGGGCGCCGGGGGCACCGGGAGCACCCTGACCCGCGCCCATGGGAGCCGAGAACAGCGAGCCGCGCTGCAAACGCCGCGCCGAGAGCCGAAAAGCTGCTCGTACCCCCAGTGAACATCCCAATCCGTGGTGCACCTACCCTAAAATGGTACCATTGGTTTTGACCCACAGCCACATGGGCTCCTGGATAGGGATGGACAAATGTGACTAGGCTGTCCCTGTGCTTGTGCCGATTGTCCCTTTGCGTGTTCTTGGTGGCCCCGATTTGGCTGTCCTTTTCGGTTGTCCCTTTGGCTGTCGCTTTGGTTTCCTTGTCAAAGCAGCCCCAAAAGGGTTCCATCGAATAAGATACCCCCAAATCAATCCAAACAGTGTTCCTTATATATAGCTCCCTTGAAACATCATCCACCAAGGAGAAAGTCAATCAGGATTGGCCAGACATGTGAAGTCTAAATCCATCCAACAAATTGAACAAGGAGCTTGGACAGGATTTGAGTTTAGCCCCCTGGGTGGCGGCGACTTTCCTGCAGAAGTTGATGTCGCTTGTTTCTATGAGTTTCTGATCAGCTTTATCCTTGTTGCTCCTCTTTGTTTTGTTAATATTGCTTTGCTCTCTTGTGTAAAAGCGAGAAACAGGGGGGAAAGTCCTTTCAGACGCCAGGTGCCCTGGGCCCAGCTGCCGGCTTTTCTGGAAGAGCCAACCGGATCTTCTGTGCCAAAAGTTGACGCTGGATTCATCAACGTGGATTCACCGGGTGATCAAAGCTTTTGAATGGGACACCTCGCAATCAAAAAACAAGGGTGTTCCACTAGCCTCGGCTCGCAGATCGCAGAGCCTCGGCTCGTGGCGTCCTCCCATGCCAACCCAAATCAGTGCAAAAAAATGGCGTGGGCCTCCTGGCTTTGGGAAGTCTGGACCCTTCCCCTCCCAAACAGGGGACCAAGTAACTTTGGTCGCTTGCTCTGGGTCAAAATAGGCTCAAACTGGTCGGTTTTCTGTTGTTGTTTTTTGGAACCAACCCGTCCCAGAAGGCTACCCTGCAGAATTCCTTGAGAGAAACCCACATGTCATAGGGTGCCATAGGCCGGGTTCCAGGGCATACCTCCAAGTGGTTTTTTGGTCCTTCGCTGATAGACCGTCCCGTGACCCCACTGCACATGGAGCTCACGTGTCACTGGCCCAAGTGAGAAGTTTGCCCCTCCGTAGATCAGAGAAACGGCAGCTTCCGGTTGTTGGGACACACACACACTTCCCGCCCGTTTGTTCTCCCTTCGCGCCTGGGGCACCAAGGGTGCGACACCCTCCCCCGAGTACCGCAGTACTGACATCATGGCGCCTGCGGAAGCGCCGTTGACAAGAGCCGAGCGCCCAGCGGCTGAGATACTCAGAATCAGTGGGTGAGTTGGATTCTCTGGTGGGAAAGCGATGCAAGATCAACCATCCACTCAGGTTCAGAGCAGCCCAGCAGCCCCATGCAAAAAAGATAAATAAATCGCCGGGCGAGGCTCGAAATATGGAAATTTGGGGATGTCTTGCTTTGGGCAAGAGCTGAAGCAACCACAAAAGGGGATCCTCTTTTTGTGTTGCAAATGGTTTCTTTGGAGAGTCGTGGTGGGTGGTTGTGGCCATCATGCTGGGTCATTGTCGGTTCTGGTGGATCATCGCAGTATAAACCAATGGGGGGTCACGGTTGTCGGGGCACGTGCGGAGTGTCCACATCCGCGTACGTCCTGCGCAGTGCGCCTGCGTGTTTGCACGTTGCACGTATGCGCTTGTAATTTCAGTCAAGTTTGCAAAGGTGATCCCCCCGACGCATGGGCAGCTATTCCTTGAAATGCCTACCATCTGATGAGGTATGGGCAAAGGTCACCCTGTAGAACCCTTGGAAATCATTCAGGTCGAGCCGCTCCCAACTTTGCATCCGGCGCTGCCGGCGGGGGCTTGCAGAGGATCCTCTCTACCGGAGAACCAAAGTACAAAACAAAGGGAACGTTCAAACGTCCCGGCAGGGAACTCCAATGGCAGGAGAACCACCCTAAAGTTTTGAAAAAGTTGGCTCGCGATAAACCAGACCAAACCAACGCAAGACAACAGACATCAAGCTTCAGCGGCTTGGGGGCTTGGCGAAAAGGCTGCAACTGACCCGGCTGAGAGAAACAAAGAAAACGGGTGCACCGAGGTCAATCGTCACGTTCAACTCGACTGAGCCCGGAACTCACGATGTGGGGATAAGCATAGTCATCTTCTGTGTGCACCTGACAAGGCAGCGGGCCAAGAGGAACGAGGCCCGGTCATGGTCGGGTACTTCTGGGCCCGTATGGCCATTGGTTCCCAGGCCCAGAAGTGTCCAAACTCAAGAGATGTACGTAAGTCTCATGGAAGTGGACAGATGACCTCTGGCTCGGGTCTGCCCCCTTTTTGGACAAGAGGACTGTGGTCCGCAGACCTGTCACCTTGCGTGATCGGAAAGACGGGCTAGGGCTTGTGCCTTAGAAAAGCCGGCAAGAAGGCCCATTTCCTGACACGTTTACCCTTGCGTCCCTGAAAGCCCTAAGCATTGTCATCTTGCTGGTTGCCAGTTGGGCCGGGTCCTTGCAACCTGTGCACCAAATTGAGGTCGAGTTTGGCCACCAGGACCACCAAAACTAACAAACATCCGGGGCCCAAACTGAATGAATGATCTTGAGGCCATGTCCAGAGAGATTTGGGGGAGTAGACCCTGCCGCACCTGCTGTCTGCCTTTCCCCAGTTCGCCCAACACCTCAAATGACTTACCAAATGGCCGGATGTTCGGACACCAATTCACCCAAAGAGCCCACAAAACCCGGCTTCCCTTGGCCTTCCCAATTGACATCTGTTGCTGCCAAAATCACACCACCTGCAAAATCCCATCTTTGGGCTGTTGCATGCGTTGCCAGGAAGAATGGACAGCTTCCGTTTGGATTGCCTTTAAACCCCAAGCAGGGTACCCTCAAAGATGCACGCATATACCGATACAGCCAATACAACCAATACAGCAACGTGCGAAAGTCCGCTTGCGGGTTCGCAGAGCAGCTGCAAGCAAACCCAGCACAAACCACGGATTTAGCCCCCGCCAGAGGAGCGTCTAATCTTGCCCATCATTCCGCAAATCCGGACATCGTCCCCAAACAACCGCTGTTCCAAGTCATGGGCGAACTTCGTCACCCGAGATTATGGGTTTTTTGGAGGTGGAGGGGTCCCGGAAATCCCGGGTTTCACGTCACCCGCCACATGTAACCTGTTTGGAGGTCCCTGGAAGACCATGTTCATCCAGTAAATGAGAAGGAGGCTGGGCTTGGAGGATTGTCCACACAAAAGGGAACCCCCCCGTTCGTAACCCTAGACGCAGGTTAAGGATTGTCTATGGGCCCATGTGAACCTTGGATAAGACAAGAGCCTTTACAAAGTCACTCCTCCACAAAACAATAAAATCATTCCTCCGGGTGGTGAAAATCCGCCTGTGTGGCGGCCTTTGCGGCGGCACCAGGCCCCCCACCCCCACACCCGCCCCCATCCGAAGTTCACGAGCTGCTATGTGGGATCTTCCAGGGCTTTGGTTGAAAAACCCGTCGACCTGGTTAGAAGGGAGCTTCGAATCGCAAGTCACGTTCCGAAGATTGCATACGAGGCTGCCACCCAAAAGGGGAAAGCTCGCAATGACCCGTCTGCGTGTGTTGTAAGGTTCCTCCCAGGTTTGTTGCCGCTTTGTGCAGGCCCAAAGAAGCCCCAGAACAAACTCTTCATGGTCAATGACCTGGTCGAAGACCAAAACCTGCTGAGGACGCCATCACTCCCCAGCCCCTCCCCCGACAAAAAAAAAGAGTCTTGAGCCCTCTCAATGACTTTGCCCCGCCCGCCTCGGAATCTGAGGGCACGTGCGGCATGTCCTCCTCGTGGAACTCGGCCCCCACCTCAGCCGAGACCGTCTAACGGAACATGGGGCCGATATGTGCGTCGGACGAAAACTCTAGCTAACGTAAAGGACGTGCAGCCGTTGGAGGGGGCACATCACTTTTCCATGCTTCCACGGCTATCGCTGTTGGAGGGGGCCTATTGCCGTTTTAAGGCTTTCCACGTTTCAGCACACACTGAGTCCATGTTTTGATGCAGGGGTCTTCGGAGGCTTTGACGGTGTGCGTGCATATTTGTGTGTACGTTTGTATGTGTGTATGCATGTTTGCATGTATGTGTATGTATGTATGCATGAATGAATGATTGGATGAATGTATGCACGTATGTATGCATGTCTGTATGAATGTATGCATGCTTGCATGTATGTGTATGTATGCATGCGTGTATGCATGCATGTACGTTTGGTTGTATATTCGTATGCATCCATGTGTGTATGTGTGTATTTTGTAAGATTGAGCCCCTGTTGAAGCCCATTTGCCGATGTTTTGTGATCTTTTGCATGTGAGACATTTCCACCCTGCGGTCTTGACGTCCTTGAACTTGCAGACACTGCTGCCCAGATGTCTACGCGCTGCCCACCGCCAGGACCATCACCTTCAAAGGTCGGTAACATGTTTGCCCACTTCGCCGGATGCGCTTGATCCTTGCCCAGCTCCGCCTCGAGCGGTCGCCTCAAACCCTAACAGCATGCTGTCCACCGAGGCTGCCGCGGGTGCCTGTGAGCGCGGCGCAGGCTGTTGCCGTCTGACGACCCGGCTTGGTGGTCACGGGTGCGGCAGCAAAGGGTGTCGCACCTGTCCCTGGCGTGGACCTCACCGCGGCCAGAGTCGCTTCAGCAAAATTATGCGCAAGAACATTGCGGTTACGCGTGGGGATCACATGCTTCCGGGCTAGCTCGATCACCTTATGTGGCTAGAACTCGATCTCCCAGCAGTCTTGCTCCACGGAGGAGAAAAACCGACAAACCCATCCTCTCGTCCTTCTGATTGCCCTTGCTCTAAATCATAATCACGCCGTGGGCCATGCGCTGCACCTCCATGAGCAGTCCCATTCAGCATGGCTATGCCCCCCAGAAGAGCAGCGCCGCCAACACACCCGTCTGGTGGGAAAGAAAGCGACACCACCTGAGTTGCCCATTGAACAAACACAGGCTCCGCTACCAAGCTCCTGACGTGCGTCAAGTTAAACAGGTCGACGAAAGGCCGCAGTGCCTTTTGCCAAAGCGCAAAAAGGTGGCCCTATGGGCAGTCCAAATCTTGATCTGAGGCTAAGCCGATGCCCGCAGCACGTATATGTCCATGGTCCGCCTGCGTGCGTGCCTGTGGAGTGATGAAGCCACATGAAGATCTACTACACAAACTGCATGCCTCAAACTGGAAGAATGAAGTTCTCTTCTCCACTGAAAGAATACACAACTGACAGGCCTAAGGTGATCCCTGTTGTCTACAATATGCGGCATCTGTTCAGGTCTTTCCATGTGTACATGTCTTATCTTTGATTGGCTCAGCTCCTTGCGAGGTGGAGCAAAAGAAGCAGCCACTTAAAAGCGCGCAGCCTGAAGTGGGGATATCCCTGTGACTACTTTGTCACTGGGAAAGTTCACTACGACCCACTTTTTCACAACACAAACCATTGCAACTTGTTGGGAAACCGCTAAACCCCTGGCCATCTACAATGGCGGTTTCCCTCGCTTCCCTACCACGTTCACCATTGATAGGGGCAAACGATCAAACCAACATAAACATACCAACAAAACAAATAGTAAATACATAAATAAAGAAGAAGAAAAAATGAATTCATATTTGGCTTGATTGTCTTTTTGCTTTAAACATTGTATATATATATATGCATATATGCGCATTGCCGATGCCCCGGCGTTGCGTTGGGCCTCAGCTCAGCCGCATCCCTCCCACATCTTTCGGGCCCCCGGGCCAGCGACTGGGCGTGCTCCGGGATGGAGGGCCCCACGTTGCTCTTGGAGTTGGAGGAGCCCCCGGACTGGCGCCGCTCGCTCTCCGCCGCCCGCTCTCCGCCGGACGTCAAGAGGAGCTACACCCAGCGGACCGGACATGGGCGCGCTTGACCGCTGGGTGTGTGTCTCTGAGGCGGCCGCTGGTTGCGCTTTTCGTTCTTTGAGGGGAAACCCGGGAAACGGCACCTAGCATTGTTGGGGGCTCGCCGTTTTCTAGAGACGCTGACGTGGGAAAATGAGTGGCGAATGGAGTGAGACTTTAATTCTGACAACTCAAAACGGGGGTCCCTTTAATCTAAACAAGAGTAATTATCCTCAAAACACTCAAGTTGCTGCCCCTTTTTGTGGAAGGGCACATGAAACCCGAACTGGGTTCAAAAAAGGCCCCCCCCCCTTCCAATCGATTCATCAGTTTGCCATGCCCCAAGGACCGCAGACACGCCGCTGGGAGCACGAACCCCGAAAAGCGGGGGGCGGGGGGGGGGCCGGGGGGGTGGGAAGCACCTACGAATAAATTGATCAACTTGGGGAAATACAGGGACCCCCTTCCCAAGTCCCCAACCGCTACCCCTCCCAACACATGCCGAGACCCGCCTGGAACTTCTCCCGGAACTTGCGGGTGGCCTTCTTCATGTCCACTTTCCCCGACTGCAAGCGTCGGGGCTGCAAACGTCGGGGCCCCCGAGGAAAAACAGACCAAGCAGAGAGGAGTTGCGACGGCCTTCTTACTTTTGGGTTTCAAGTCTGAGCCACAGACTAGGCTTGGACAAAGGCCTCTGCAGGTCTCTGTTTGTACAATTGTCCGTGGCTAGGTAAAGTTTAGGGTTTTGTTTGTCGCACTCTTTACTACTTGTTCAAACGGCTTTATCACGGTTTATTAAATACTGAAGAGTACTAAAACATAAGTCAAGTTTTGGTTGCTTTGTTGTTTGTTGTAACAGGGTCTGCTGCATCTCGTTGCGCCAATTCACATTTGGTCGAGTCTGCAAGGAGGACAAGTCGGCATCAAACCCAGGGACCCTTTGCGCACGGCGTTGCAGGCAAACCAAAAGAAAGCCGGCCAGTCATCCAAATGGTGCCACTTGCTTTGACACCTAGACTGGCCTCTTTTCAGGAACAAGCCAGGGCCGGCAGGCCCGCCGATTTTATCCAGAGCGCCAAACTTGGTGGGCTGTGATGAGTCTAGGAATGCCAGGAATGTCTGAATCCCATACTAAAGGCTTCATGACCATCCCTAGTAGCCCTTGGAAAGGGGGTCTTTTGACCATGACGCAAAATAATTATTGGCAGTGGCTCATACGGACCTGTGGGGGCATGAAACTTCATTCGAGCTCCGTTGGTGGACATCATTTGCATGGGGAGTTGTGTTCACAGTGTTTGACGTTCCACCCGAAAAACCAATAGCCATATGCAAAAAAAAGCTGCTGAAACGCCAGAAGTTGCCGCCAGGTTCAGAATCGGCCCAAACCCGGAGTCTCAGAAGACATGGATGTTCTGCTTCTGCTCTCTATCCTGCCTCAAAGTATTTTAAAGATTTTGTTTAAGAAAAGAACACGCACATTATTGGAGACCGCTGCAAACCAGGGGCACTCTGCTCTCCGGTTCTCCCGCGTTGGCTCGCGCTTTGTTTCGCCCTTGGGGCTCGGACGTCTAGGAGGTTGCTTCCCTCCGACACCGAGCGCGAGAAGTTCTGCTGGAGCCAGTCCTGCGAGAGCTTCTCAGTCCAGAAACCGAAGCCGGCCCAGCGCCCAAAAAGCAATGATTGGTCGATTTCCTTGTGGTTTCCCATTAACACCAACCAAGCAAGGGGTACCCTCAAGAAAGACACGCCCATATACTTGCTGGTGCGATAGGCAGGGAATGCGGAATGAGAATTGGAATGACCCCGACCAAAAAGCCATCCCCGATTTGGTCTCCTCGGGAATCCCCTTCCGGTGAACTCCCTACACCCGGACTCGGTCATTCCCTGCTGAGCACCAGCAAGTTGTTGAAACCCTGGGTGCTGTTGAGCCCCTCCGCAAAAAATGAGTAACCTCTTGTGGGTTCAATTCGGAAAACCCCTTGATTTCAACCAAACAGTGACAATCTAAAGATCCAACCCAAAGCAAGCAAGAAGAAGGGTAAGTGGTTCATGGGAACTAGAGTAAGTAGTTGACGGACAAACAATAACGACCATTATGATCATAGGTCACTGTTAAGTAAGTGGATAATAATTGCACACATTCAGAGGTTGATACTGTTGATGGACAAAATCTACCTCGCACCAGTTGGTACGTGGCTGATCAACCAGCATTCAGAGGGCTTATCCATCCATTGCAAATGGTGCAGAACTTCGCCCATCCACAATGGGGGCCAAATAGTTCCACACTCAATATTCTTTTCTGACGGCTTTAGCAACCGCATTCTTACTCATGTATGCCCTCAGAATATCCCAGATTAGGTGCTTGTCCCACGCAAGGAGTTTCCTCTCATCTCTTCACATGTTATTTTAATGCTAACAGATGCCAAAAAAGGGTCCTGACAAAAGAATAGCCATCTAAAACTATTGGTTTAAGTTTTTCTGAACGCCAACGAACCCACAAGGGTTCAGCAAAAGGGGGTCCGCACGCAGTGTTTTCTCCATGAACCCCAAAAGGGAAGAAGTTCACCTAGAAAGCCACGAAGGGGTGTTCAACCAACATGGTAAGCTAATTAGATCGCCATAACCATGCTTACTTTTGGTACTGTCCGCCTAAGATGTCAAAAGCTCTTATTCTATTGGACCGGTCCCTCACCCCCCCACCCCCCAATACTAAACAATTTGAAAACCGGATTTCATGAAATTTCGAGGTTCCCCAAAAAAAAACGTGTTATTAGACAGGTCCCCACAACAAAACCCTGAAATTCAGGAGGCCCTACATAAAAAGTTCAAATCTTCCCTTCGGGATGCTGCTGCTGCCTTTCTGTCCATGCTCATACTGCTGCACCCTGCTTCTTTTTCATTTGTTTTCCCTTTGCTTTGGAATGCAAAACTGCCAGCTTTGCACTAGTACTAGCGCAGTCATGAAGCAGTGCCAAGCCAACACAAACATCAGCCAGAACTTCCTAAAATCCCAAAAAATGTCTGAAAGTGCAATTTATTTATCAAATATCTTTGTTTGAGAAGGTCACATGACGTACCCCACATGAGTGCCCAGCCCATGTTAAGAATGTGCATCCCCATGGTTTTGTTTGGGGCCACACCCACTGCTAAGCCCAGCAATACTAAATCTAATGGAACACAAACCCAACAAAACGAAATCAAAAACCTTGGAGCTCAAAATGGAAAGTTATATGAACCCCGGAATCAAGTGGATAGTCCAATCAACATGTCAAAATGGAGCTCCGCAACACTAAATCAAATGGACAATCCAACAATACTAAATCAAATAAATGAAAGATCAAATCAAATCCAAATGGAAGCTCCAGCAATACTAGATCACATGGAAAGTCAAATCCCGCAGTACTAAATCAAATCAATACTCAAATCAACATCTCGCAACTAATCCTAATCAAATGGAAACATGGTCGAAGCTTTTTGGAGTCCTGGGTCTGGAATCCTCATTCCTAATTCAAAAGTATTGCCCAATGCCAAAGTGGTTTTGCCCAAAAATCAAGTAGAGCTCCCCCCAAGTATTTCAGTCCCAGAATCTGGTGCTTGGAGGAAAAAGCCTTCCGGGCCTTCTTAGTTTCTAATGGGATGTCAACACTAACTCCCCTTAACCACTTGCTAAATTGGTTGACAACCCTTTGATGGCTTCTCCACTTCGTTTCGGTTCCCACCTCCAGCTACAAGAAGGCTTTCCGACGATTTCTTGACAAGCGCGCTCCTTGGTGTCCCACTTGGGAGCAAAGCAAGCACCCCCCACCCCAAAAAAAACAAAAAAAACTTGCAAGCGGGTATGTGGAAACCTGGACACCCAAAATGTGCGCGGTGTCCATTTTTCCCTTCAGACCTAAAGGAGCGGCCCGGGTCTTTTTCGGCGCCCAGCCCACGGCCCAGGCAGCTCCTGCAGCAGCGGGGGGCACTGGGACACGTCCAGCCGTGAGTCCTGCATCTCCTGGGCCCATGAGTCACTCCAGATCTTTTGGCCCACCCTCAATGAGGATAGGTGGACCATCCCAACCCAAGCCCCAGGGAGCCGGTCGTTTGACCATGGGAGCCCCTTTCCCCATCGTTGGGCGGCATGGCTGAGGAGAAGGTGCTTGCAAGGCACAAAGGCCGTCAAAACAAGCAGGCAATGTGTCAGCCGCAGAAACGGAAGCAACTGGCTGCGCGAAAACCGCTAGCCTCTAAAGTATCCAAGAGGAGATTCCTCTAGAATTGCTAAGTGTTCCGCTAGTTGTCTTTAAATCATCCCCCAAAACGAGATCCCATTGCTGGGTTTTGGGGCTCCATGTTGATTCTCGCTTCCGAGGTGCCAAGCACCGGCCAATGCTGCTTTGCACCAGCTCGACCATGTCGACCAGCCCAGCCCTGGCGGGGCAGAGATCCAACCCAATCCAAGGGTCATGGGGGCGGGGGGGGATATTAATTGACGAATGCCCTTCTGCATAAACTCCAAAGTGCCGGACAAAGTGCGGGACAAACTGCTGGACAAACAACTGTCCGGCAAGTTGTCCGGCGGGTTGTCCGGAAGGTTGTCCGCGCACTTTGCTGAGATTTATGCAGCAAACCCCCCCTCCCGCGAGAATACTTCCCTCCGAGTGACTTTCGAGTGGTTTTGAGCGGGTTCCGAGTGGTTTCCGAGTGATTTCCGAGCGGTTTCCGAGTGGTTTCCGAGTGGTTTTGGCGTGTTCCAAACCTGTCCGAAGACTTGTCCGGGGGGTTGTCCCGGGTTTTTGCGGCCTCAAAGCTGTCCGGAGCGGAGGGTGGGTTGTCCGGGGGTTTGTCCGGGGAGTTGTCCGGGGAGTTGTCCGGGGTTTTAAGCCCGTTTGGACCCAAAATATGAAAACAGGTGTTTATGCAGAACCACCTCTGTCAAGACATGAAGCCCCTAATAAGGCCCCCCCTCCCCCCCAGCCCCCATCAAAGAGCGAGGCGCAGAAACCATCCGATCCGGATGCCCCGGACTTAACATGGAACCAAAACACACAAAAACACCGCCCTGCGCGTGTCCCGTCTCCTTGTGGCTGGTTGCTGGGACGGGTTTTGTCACAATCCAAAACCAGCGGCCCGGCCCCCAAACCCCACGCCCGGCGCCTCGCGTCGTCGCCCAGGAAGTAGGCGTGGCTCGCCTGGCGGCTTCATGGAGCTCTCACAGGGTGGGGCCATATGGGAGTGGGTCAAAAAAAGGTACTCAAAATGGAACCCTGGCAAATGGAAACATGGCCCTGGTGCTTTAGTTTTGACCCATACCCATATGGGGGCCTCGAAAAGTATCTCTGATGCTTGGGTTCTGAGGTTTTGACTGTGGGGGAGCGAGGAGTTGACGACGGAGATAAGAGGGGATGTCGTTGTGCGGGGGAAAATTTTAGGAATGGCCGAGCTTGCCTGAGCTGGCTGGGGGACGGTTGTGTGGAAGGCTGGCTGGCGTACGCACAAAAAAAGAAGACACACACCAAGCCCAAACCAAAAGATCCCGCATTTTCAACCACCCGTTCCTCTCGAGAGAACCTGAAAGCAAAACTCGGCAGCCGAAAGATTCTGGGTCTGCATGCTTCTATGCTTGTTGGGAGGGTACCTGACTTGTGCTTGGCAACCTTCCACAGGGCGTCCGCTCCCTTCATGCTCCAAGTAATATCCCGGCCCAACAGCTGTCTGGAAAGAGGATCCAACCACTTCAGGCATCCGGATCCTCTTTTCGGCGGCTGATGGCGTGGTGAATCGACCATGGCTAGTTGGCCCCCTTTTGGCGGAATGGAATCGGTGCAAAAGGCTGGTTCATAGGGTTTTGCTGGTGCAGGATGTTGTCCATCCACTGGAAGCAACATCATAGCTTTCCGTTGCCAGGAACTGGGGTCCGGGTCCAATTGCTTAAACAAGTTCTGGAACCAACGCTGGTGACAGCGAACAAAAACATGCAGAACGTGTCTTGTTCAGTCCCTAGGCAAGGCGGGGATTCCTGTCCTCCTGCGAATCCGAGAATTGTCGTCCGTTTTGCCTCCCATCCCATGGCTCGAACAGAGCATATTCAAGTGACATCCTCGAAAACTGCCCTTGTCTTGGTTGCCGCTGACCCCTCCGCAAAAAGGTTTCATCTTTTTGCGGGTTTAGTGGGGAAAACCCAACTTGAAATCAAAACCAAAAAGTTAAAGTCTAAAGATCCGTTGCCCAATAGCAGTCAAGTTGTTGGCGGAAAGGCAAACCGCCCCGAGGCCGGCTTTTCCGGTGGATCGGCGATCGGCCTGGAAGCCGAGTTCCTGCAGCTGCCGGCACAGCCGCTGCCGCAAGATCACCTCAGAGCCAGCCATGCGGCTGGCGTCTTGGATTCTCATGGACAGCAGGGAGGTCTGCACCTGGTTTAATTGAAAACACTAACTAGTAACTTCAATCATAGTGTATGTCTACTAGCTTGTTCAATGAATCGGCTGCTAACATGAAAACAAAAGCAAAAGCAATACACATGGCATAGAAAACCAATCGCCTTGTGGCTTCCTTGTCATGCGAAACACATGGAAGGGAGCTTGGCGCGCAGGAAAGCTGCTGTGGGTGAACTAATTTCACCCGGAAGCTGCGGTGTGCTTGTAAAGTCCTGTCAAAAGGAAACCAACCGCCTGAAGGGGTTCCTACTTTTGAGCTACACCCACATTTGTTTCCGTGCCTTTGCTGGAGAAATGGAACGGATCCCTCAAGAAAGGCCGGAGCCCAAATCCGTGGCCCAACAGCTACAATCCCAGTGTGCATCCCCCATGCATCCAAAGTTGAACTAAATCTGGTGAAAAAGCAGCTTTGGCCTAATTCCGTCCAGGCCGGAAACAAAAACCCAAAGAGAATGGCTTGTTTTCATCACCCAAAGGCCCTAAATATAGACATCCGTTCTTTTGCAGGCGTTGTTCACTGAAATCTGTGTCACAGGTGAGTACAAGGACCCCGTCGCACAACCTCGACGATTCAATTCTCTCTTGACACCCTTCAGGCTAGAGACGCAGATGTCTTCATTGGTGTGCATGAGTTATTTGCCGCGACGACAAAAGATTGATAAGACCCAAAGGCCTCCAGGCCACAAGGGCGGAGGGAGAGAGCGGATCCGATGTTTGGATCATGCCCACCAAAAGTTCGATCTGCGCCGAGAGAAAAGAAAGAAGAAGAAACAACGGGTGTACGAGGCTCGCCCCGAAAGACCAGCGGTGCTGAGGCGCAGTAGAGCTTACACTGCAACCCGTGCATCCCACTCATAGGTGCCCTTCTGGGAAGAAATATGGCCCTGATGGGTGATGGAACCACCAGGTTCTCCAGGGCCTTCTATTCCAAACCACCCAAAAAGGATACCTATGGTCCCACGAAGGAGACCGCATAACCCCTCCGAGGGCGCAGCCTGACTCAGGCCCTGCTCGCCCCTCAGTCCCTGAGCGAGCGCTTCGGTCTTCGGTCGGTCCAGTTGAAACTGAGGCCAGGGTGGAATGGATGAGGTTTATGCTATCATCAACCTCCTTTTCCACCTGTTTTCACCTCTGCACCAATGCTCCAACCCAGACCAACTCCTGTCGAACGCGTAACGATCTCGGGCTCCTAGCAAGCTTCTTGCTTGGCTGCCAGGTCCTGGCTTTTAGAGAATTTATGTGTTGGCAAAGCAATGGTCGCACGCATTCTAGAAAATTGCGAGTTGATGCAGCAGGGACATCATCTGGGATGCATATGGTGGCATGTCGGCTTCTCTTTGTTCCTTCGGAGACTCCATCGGAAGCCCAGAAATGAGCTTCACAAAGGCATCTCCATCCTTTACCCCCCAGCACATGCCATCCTTGAACATATTCCTTGCAAGTGTCCAGATCCCAGGCTCGTGAGACATCCGCAGCCAGGCCTCCTTTTCAAGCGGCGACGTCTGTGGGTGGGGACCCCATGCGCCGTGGTCAAAGCTTCTGGCGATGGTTGCTACATCCACTCCCCGTTGATCAACAACTTGTCCAATGCAAAAACAAGGTAACACGGCTTCTTGGAGCCCGGTGTAGCACCGCTGTTTGTATGGCCTGCATGTGGAATCACCAAAAACAACCAACACCCGAGACCCCGGTTGAGGTGTGGTCAAAGAGTGCTCAGACTTTTCCCAACAACACCCGCTGCTTTCCTCCCCCTCCCAATGCAGCCGTGGCACGGGCGCGCCTGCCAGGTGGGAATTGGGTGTCGAATGTGCCTTTTGGTACACTTGGGCACAGGGTTTAAACGTGGCGTTGAATCTAAGCGGCCCGCGGCCCTAAGATTCAAGGCCACGAGCTTGGGTGACGAAATTGTTTGCAGGACACGGACATCACCCCCGTTCAGGGGGGCCCGAAGCTTACCAGCTTCGAATTTGAAAGCCACTTGGGCTCAAAAGAAGCAAATACTCGCCCTGATCCGGAGTCCATATTGGCTTAAGCGTAGTTCGAAACAGACCCTTTGGTAAACATCAGAAATAGCTTGGAGGGGTTTACCCGTTAGCATCATCGGCCTCTACCGCACCATGGACAACAAGGGAAACACGCTATCAAACAACAAGTTGAAGCCCAGAATGTGCCGCTTCCTGTTGCCAATGCAGAAGGAGCAAAGCGGGGTCGATGCTTGCGCTATCTGGCGCTTCGCCTTGTGACAACAAAATGACCGTGACAAGCTCTTTGGAGCACATGTGCCATGGTCCAAACTCCTTCCGTGGCTGAAACGCTCGTCCCACAAAGCCCAAGGCGTTGATGACCTACCGGCGAGGGCGTTGGAAGATGGCCATGAGGCTCGCCATCTGGGACACTCAACAGCCCAACACACAACACTCACAACACACCAGTCCCTTTCATGCCCCGTGCAGAAATCCCTGCAAACCCAGAATAAAGGGTGAAACAGTTCATCCACGTGCCCAAGGGGCACTATGATTGTGGGGTACCTGCAATGATGAGAGAAATGTACAGCAAGGCTGCCGATCACAAGGTGACAAACGTGTCCTCCAGCCACGAATCCTGGATTGCAGCACATCAAGTTTCTCCAGCG